CAGGTATATGGGTAATCCAGGGAAACATCAATGGGAGGCAGTGAAGTGGATTCTCATATACTTAAGAGGAACAATCAGTAAGACACCTTGTTTTGGAGGTGCATGAATTAAAATACAAGGATATGTAGATTCAAATCTGATAGGTTATATTGATGGTAGAAGAAGGACAACAAATGAATTAAAATACAAGGATATGTAGATTCAAATCTGATAGGGTATATTGATGGTAGAAGAAGGACAACATTTTATGTCTTTATTTTGGGGATCACAAAATGAGTTTGTAGAAAAAGTACAAGGTATGTCTTCACTTGTGGAACATAGTAGTGTGTTGGGTCTTCAGGCTACAAAAGATTGTTGCATTTTCATTTGTAGAAGTTGATTACATTGTTATCATTGAGGCTAGAAAGAAAATAATTTGGCTGCAAAGTTTGATGACAAAATTGTGCAAGGAACAAGGAATTGAAAAACTTCATAGCGACAATATGAATGTTGTTCATCAAGCAAAGAATGTTGTTTTTCATCCAAGGTGAAGTACATTCCGTTTATATATCACTTTATTCGTTCTCTCTTAGAAGATAGTTATCTTTCGAGAATATACATGTAGCTTAGAATTTTGCTGATATGCTGAATAAATTGATTAAAATTGATAAACTGAAGCTAAGCTTGACTTCAGTTGGAGTTCAGTAAGGTTGAAACCAGGGGTGATCCACACTAGTATACATAAATATGGAAAAAGTACAAGTTTGGATGAGAGCGATTGCAAATCAGTCTCCAATTGGGAAATTATTATATGGAGCTTGATTAGTAAGGAGAAGCACCTAGGAACAGTGTAGCGGGCAACCCAGCGCCTCGCTGCATGCAGCCCAACGCCAGAGCAAGCGCCTTAGCGCTAGTGGGGTGCTTAGGCTCCCTACCAGAGGTTCATAAGCGGAAAGCCATCACTAGTAGGGGTGCTTAAGCTCCTAGAAAACTTGTTCTCAGCATTCCGAAACAAAGGGCCCAACAACTCGACAACCGAATGTGGTGCCTACGCGCCTGTAATTGATTTTTGCAGTTCAAAACTTTAAGTTTGTGTTTCTTCATTGCAAGGGTGCATGCGAATAGTGCGAAGCAATGCTGCGAGTGGATTTTGAATTTCCGTCAATTCTCTTGTGCGAAAGAGAAAGGAGAGGAGTGTTAGCGAGTTATGGGAGAGCAAAGAGGCTTGAGTTAGTGAATTTATTGGTGTGTTGTGAATTGTGGTTTTTTCCATTTTTGGGTTTTTACACGTTAAGTCTTGTTGTTCTTTGTTTATTTTTTTTTAAATTTCTTGTGTGTTTCTGTTCAAGTATTTTGTTTTGGATTTCTCGAATTGGTGTTCTGTATTTATCTTAACCCCATAAGAATATATTTTGTGTTACATTAATTATTTATTATTAGTTGAGGTGTTTAGTTAGATATGTTTTATTTTGTTTAATTATGTTATATGCAGAGTGAATATATTAAGTTGGCTTTCAATCATATAAATATTTATGTTTGGAAACATGCGGTCAGGGATTTAAGTGGATATCAGATTTAACACTACCCAACAATGTTCTAGATTTAACACATGATTTTGCAAATTTGGATTTATAGAATTTACTAAATCCTACTTGAGTTAAATCCTAGATGTATCCAAACTAGTGAACAACTCTAAATTCCATGCTTCCTTCGTCTTCTTGGCCTTTACTCCCCCTACTATGCTGCTAACAATTTGGAAGAATTGGATCATTTTATGTAGACATAAATCACTAAAGCTTTTTAAGGCTCCACAATTTATAGAGTATTTCATTTAATACGTTAGATTTAGAGCCACAATAAGAAATTCTGTTGTAATCATTATTTTCTGAAAGCTCTCCTTGGTTCTCTCTTCTTTCAAACTACCACTCGCTACTAAATTCATAAAAGCCATTGGTGCCAACTTGCATTATATTTTTTTTAACAACTTTGTCAGAGACTACACGTCGAGAACAATATTTTGAAAAAAATTCAAGACAAGCTCCCAATCATCCAATCTAATTTATTGTGGATTTTAACTTGACATTGACTCACAGATGAAATGTGAGAAATAATCGTGCAGGTGCTTAGGGGTGCACGGACACATGCATGCACATGAAAATAACTTTTTCATGTAAATATTTAATGTCATATAGAAGTGATCAAATGATCACTAGTATTCAAAATTCTTTGGTATTTTTTAACTTTAAATAAAGAATAATTTATAACTTAAAAAAATCAAATACAGCAAGGTCAATTACAAAACAAATTATAGAGAAAAGAAAAATATAATACCAAATAAATGTAATATGATGGCCAAGAATGAAAAATCCTTTGGATGAGACGCCTTATCTAAAGCTTGGTGAATGCAATAATGAAATAATAATTTTTTTCTACACCATCTTTCAAATAGAATTTGAAACTTCCTATCAATTTCGAGTGATCACACTCCGAATCCTTTCTTTTGATTATGAGTCAGGATCATCAATAGCTTCACTTGTTAGAGAGAGATGTTGTGCTCCAAGAGTAGGAAGATTAATATTAATTTTCATGTTAGCAACTGGTATAGTGGATCATATTTGTGAGGCTAGCAAGGCCTAGCACGTTAGGCTCTAATTTCAAAGGAAAGTCTAATATTGGATTTAAATTTTTGAGAGCAAAAATGATCTGATTAAAGAGCAGCAACCATAGTGGTAGAAGGTAGAATTTGAACATTTGTTTGTTTCCTTTTTGCCTGATGGTTTGATTATCTTAATTCTGAACGAGTCTTGAAACATTTAGAGTTATTTTACTCTAAGCTTTTGTAACACAGTTAAGAAGAGATGCTTTCGAATTCTACGTTTTGTCAATATCTATAAAACAAAGAATCTGTCAGCTCTTTTTCAAGTGAAGTAGTAATGTCCAATTTAATCAGAACTCTGTTCACAGATTACCTAAAAAGATAAGCTCTAATATGTGCACTTGTAAATGTCTATTGAATATAGAACTCAAGGAGTATAAAGGAAATTAACTGAACGAATGTAAACCAGATCAAATGCAATCCAAACATGAGTAATTGGTGGTTCTTTAGAAGAATCAAAATGAGGACATTATTTAAGTGTTCACATTGGAAAGCCACTGACATCGTGTGATTACCCTCTGAAGAGTCTGGTGTAATGTACTTGTAAAGATAGTCTTATTAATGATTTGTTGAAGGTCAATGAGATCAATGGTGAAGCCCTCGACTAAATATAAATGTGACATGAATTTAATAATAACCTTTAGGTTGGGGTGGGTCAAAGAGGCGTTGCCATTTCATAGAAAAAGATAGTGAGCTAGTAGGTTCAAGGTTCTCATTTTAGGAATACTAGACCTCACGAAAAAATTGAGGTCAACATGAGCTAGTAGGTTCAAGGTTCTCATTTTGGAGGCGTTGCCATTTCATAGAAAAAGATAGTGAGCTGTCGGCACAAATGAAATTAAGTGCTGTATATAGTTTCTTATGTTGAAATGAATCTTGTTGAAAAATAATAAGTTTGAGATAAAGACTGATGCATTCCGGAATCTTACAGCCCTCCAACCATATTTGCAAAGGATTGTGGATGGCAGGTAGTAGGATCTGCAAAATAAGATGGTATGAAAGCAGGAGCCGCCACCGAGAAGATAGGGACCACTGCTACCTTGGCATTGAGCGACTTGAGGGTTTTGCTGAAATCCTAGGTGCTAATATGGGTGGCGAATGAGGATTAGTTGGGATCAGGGAGAAGGAAAAAGAGTATATGCATTTGCTTCTTGAAAGAAATAAAGATTCTACTAGTGTAGGATTTGAGTGAGGAATGTGACAGTTGACTAGAGCCAAGAGAAGTTGTTAGCAAGTGAGAAAGTTGGCAAGGCTACAACCTTAGAAGGTTCTCCAACAGACATCAGGAGCAACGTGCAAACGTGGGTGCAAAGTGAGATGGGGAGCAACTTAACTTTCAATCATGGCATATGGAGTGATGAGCATGCAAGACTATTTGAAGCACATCTTGTGATTGATGTTAGGTGTGACAAATGAAGCATAAGAGCCCCAAGGCTGTGTCCCATTCGTGTTTGCGTCAGGATGCAGGATGAAGATGCTAGACATGGACAGTGTTGCTACAAGAATATGGCATTTTGTGTAAGTACATGTACACGAAATAATTGATTCCATGATTTAGTAGGTAATTACTATAAAAAAAGTCACTTTTCCAACTCCATTAAATTAGTACAAGCATATACTTTTTCCTTTATCCAATAGAAAAATAAGATTGTTCATCATAAATACTTGATTTCCAATTCCAATTCTGCATTGTTATAGCTCATCTAATACAGGATAATGGAATATGTATTGCATTAGGAAAATAAATCAGTTTACCATATATGAAAACAAATTTCTGCTATTGTTTTGAGCATTAGGTTACATAGAAGTAAAATATGAAATTCATTCAGCATTCAGTATCTAAGAACTAAGCTACAAGAAGTAAGTTCAGGTAATCATAAATCATACAGACTTTTGTTTAGTTGTTTTTCTTTTATTTGAGCTGGTTTGGAGTGACTTCCTTTCAGGGCAGTGAATATTTTTATAATTCATTCTTTGAGCCTCAGTTTTTGATATAAGTCTTTATACAGTTAATGTTTTCGTAATCTCATTAATTGAGTAGTGTCCTTTCAATCACATTTCTTCTGGTTGTACATGTGAATTTGTTGAACTTTTTCTCTTTGCATTCTTTTGCGGAGCGTTTCCAATGTGCTTAATGTTTAACCCATGAGTTTGCAATTATGATTCTTAGCCCCTTTTACATGATGGAAATCCATTAAAATTTAATAATTGCTGACTTAAATTTTGTAGCATGAATAGAATCTTCAATTTTTAGCTCGATTTTGATTTCCTTTCTTTTAATGAATTTGGGGAATTAGTAGTTTCTATTTAATGAATAATTGTAAGTAATGTTTCAAATTGCTGACCTGGAGAAATTATTGTTCAGGACATACACATGTTGCAGAAGCGCTTAAAGTACCAATCCACATTTTTTTTACGATGCCATGGACGTGAGTTTTTGTGCTCATTGTCGACAGCTAGTTATTTTGTTGGGAAATCTACATAACTAGCACACAATTCTTATGTATTTACATATCTCACCCCTAAACTTTCATATTTACATACATAGCACTTTGGTGCTTTAAACCTAATGCATGGGAGTTGTATTTTACTTTTAAAAGGTTACTTTTAAAAGGGGTAATAGTGCTATTTTTGATGTGATATTAAAGATTTGAGTGTTATGTAGGTAAATATGAAAGATTAGTTGTGAGATATGTAAATACGTTAGAATTGTATGCTACGTATGTAAATGCCCCTATTTTATTTGTGCACTCGTGCATATGACTTCAACATTTCTTTGAAATTGCTTTTTATCTTTTGTCATTGGAATTAAGTTGTTATTGACGTCAACACGTTTTTCTTTTAGGCTTTTTGATGATATACATGTAATGCTACAATGTTCACTTTTCATTATGTTTAGGCCAACAACTGAGTTTCCACATCCTCTTTCTCGAGTCAAGCAACCAGCGGGGCACAGAGTGAGATCCTTTTTGGGGTTGTTCTTTGAAAGCATTTTCTTAATTTATTCTCTCTCACAACCTGTCTATGCTTTAAACCTCAAGCTTAATTCTACTTTATGAATGCTTTACCATTGTGCTCCCAAGGAATATTGATGCAACACAAAAAATTAATTTTAGGTTTATTTATTTCAAAATTTTCATTTAAATTACAGTTTTTATGTTTATTCTAAATGAAAATTGCATTAATTATCCTTTTGGTTGATTAGTTTCTTGTCAACTCTCTCTCTCTCTCACACACACATAGACAAACCGATTGATTGTTGCAGCTAGCAGTTCTTCATTTGAGTACATGAATTCCATGTATTTGCTTTTTAGTTGATTGATTCCAAAATATATAAGTTAGAGTCCAAAATATCTAAGTTAGACTTTTCTCTCATAGATATTGATGAACAAAATTTTGGTATGTAATCTTACCCTTGCATTTGCCAAATGGCTATTTCTATGAATAGGCATTTCTCTACTTAGTTTTGTGAACAGATTAACAACTAATATACATCAAACTTAAAGTCTACTTGGAAGATGAAAAAGTGGTGGATGTTCGTTTGTGTTCAATGGCATCTGTGTTCACCTCATTTTTGATGAGGTTTAATTCTTTCACCTAGAGCCTAGGATCTAGCATTAGGACTTTTCTATTGACTATCCTAGAGGACTGATGATGGTACCCACTCTTTAGAAGCTCAAACCACCTCCTGGCTTTTTTTGTGAGGCCTCATATGAGTGTTCTCAAGAACTCAACTCTTAGTTGCAAGGGCTAAAGACCAGCATGTGGAGGCCCCAAAAAAGTTTCCTTTGCTCCTTAAATACTTAAATAAGATAATATAATAAAATAAAACAAAATAATATACTTAAATGACATGCGAATTAATATACTTAAATAATATAATATAATAACATAAAACAAAATAATAAAAATAACAAAAATTTTTTTTTTAAACCCTATTTCACCTAAACTGCGCACGAGGCTTCCCCAGGCTCCTCTCGCGCTCGCGATCCTTCGTGATCGAGCTCGATTCCTCCTCTTCGGTCGGATCTCTTTGCGTGAGTCCTAGCTCGCGCGTCTTACTCTCTCGAGGCCATCCAACAGTAAGCCTCCATTCGCGAGCCCCCAGCGCCTGACTTTCTCTTCTTCGCAAGCCGCTAGACCGAGCAACTCCCCAATCCCGAAGCTTCACCTGGTCGACCCTTCCTCTCTCCAGGCCGCTTTCTCTCTTTCTCCCTAAATGCTCCTCTCCCCTCCCATCATCCCATTTGACTACCTAGGGCCTGGTAGGTGGTGGTGTCTTCCTTCCTTGCATATAAAATCTCTACCTAGGGTAAGTTCTTTGGTTGTTGGAATTTTGGCTTGGGGGGGTACTACTAATTGTAGGTGCTTGTCTTTGCATTTGTGTTGAATATTTGATGTTCTTACAATAAAATATGTACATACCCTAATTATCTTGGGAAAATCTATCTTGAATCCTATCAATTAGAATCAGAGCATTCGATTCTGGGAAACAAAGAAGGATCCGACATGCCCTAGTTTAGATCCGAGAGAGAGTCGATCTGAGAGATGTTGTTTCCACGAAGGATCGATGCATACGGGGTAAACAATCACAATTTCATGAAGCAGCTGACAAGATTGCGGTAATCTAAGCCATTCTCTTTTGAGTGTTGATCATGTCCGGAAGGGACCTAATCGCCTTTCTTCTTTGTTGGTCGAAACGATGATGGGACTGTGATGTACAGTGACCTCAATTCACGACATACTTGGAAATTCGATAGGATCACTACTTTACCCCTTTCCTTCGTGATTTGCAAACTCGACAAGATCTGGGAAGCTAGCGACGATGATTTAACTTGTGAATCATAGGGAATATACCATGACAAAATTCTTCAATGAAGTGAGGTCATCGGGATCGTTGCTTGCAGCCACACAACTTAACCTTTCGATATTGTGGTGAATTTTATAGAGACGCTAGCAATGATGGGTTCATGGGTTATAGACGCACTTTTGCTTGAATTAACAACACCATATAGTTGGCAAGACTGCACGCCTTGGTTACATGACACAATCACAATTTGAGTAACTGAGAGCCAACATACAGATCACGTCATCCAAGGGTTTCATTTTCTTGATCGAAATCATCCTGAGAGTAATGGAAGACAATAAAAAAGAGGCTCTGAAGAAGAAATTAAAGAAAGAGGTGAGCCAATTCAAATCTGAAATGGAGGAGTTTTTCTCATCCATGGAGGGGCGGTTCGAGAATAGATTCACGACAACATCTGGAGGGAATTGAACGACATCGTGAGGTTTGGGATGAGCGGCAATAGGTAGATCAGAACAATGCCCAATTTAGGGTGGAGAAGATTGCTTCAAAGATTTTCGGCTTAGGGCTGGGAACCATGATGGGTGGGACTTCGATGGAGGACTGCATCTAATTGCGTATATGCCTTTTTTTAGTGAATCCTTCTAAGCGGAAGGTGATTTTGTAGTAATGATGGGAATGAGACAGGTAGAGAAGAGGGAGAAGTTTGTAAGGGACTGATTTGGACATTGGGGAGTATTCGGGAGGGAGACTAGATGGTATTGGTTCACGGTAACCCCAATTGGTGCAAGGCGCTGGTGATGCTGAAAACTATGATGAGGGTGATTTAGGATGTATTGTTGAGATTTTTTATCAAGTTCCATATCATGAAAGAGACACATGATATGGAGTTGGCAGAGATTCTAGAGATCGATAAATTAATGTTTGAGTTTTTTGGGGCGACGATATTCTCTGGGATTGATTTAAAGTCAAAGTGCCATCATATTCGAATGTGATCGAAAGACGTGCACAAATATTTTTTCGAGACGGCGAGGGTCATTACGAGCTGACTAAATGAAAAGAATTGTCAGATGACGCCACGTGAGAGCCATACAATCTGATCCAACAATAATTTTTTCCTTTTTGAGGATTATTTTTTTTTGGGAGGGGAGTAATGTTATGACAACGCCTAAGGGTTATTTAGTTTTTATTAGCCTAAGGGAAATTTAGCAATTTGTCATTTATGTTGTTTAGTAGAAATTTAGGGTTAAGGTTACTAAGGGAAATTTAGCAATTTGTCATTTATGTTGTTAGGGTTAAGGTTATGCATAAGATTGGGTCTTAAGTCTTAGGGTTAGGGTTTGCAAGAGATTTCTTACATCAAATTGTAGGAATTGGGAGAGATCGTATACCTCTTGAATTGTAGGTTCTTATCTTATGTAGTCGTGTTGAGTTGTTTGGTGTTCATGAAATAAAATATATGGTGCTTTATTTCTGTGTGCAAAATTGATTCTGTTCTTATCATAGTTCTTCATTAGAGCCCAACTTGGTCAAAGAAGGCCCATTTGAGAAAGGTGAATGAAATCCCCCATAATGACTAAGGATATATGAAATTAAAATTTTTATATGGTTGACTTCTTAACTACCTTAAGATGGAAGATTTCATGTTGACCTCCTTAAATGGCTAAAAAATCTTTTAATAGGGTTGGTAGCCATCTCCATCATCCCTTTCATATGGAAAATACCATCATTGCTATGAGGTGCCTCCTTGGTGTTTGATAGATTCAGTAACACCTTGAGTTTTAAACGAAAATAAAGTTTTTGTTATACTTTAACTAGAAAGGCTTTTAATAAGTACTCTTAGAAGTTATTGAAAAAAAAAATTGGACCATACAAGCTTGTATAAGTGATAATGTTTACGAGTTTGATCTAATTTCTAATTTTGACCTTTTACCAATATTTAATGTCGCTAACCTTATATTTTGACTCAATTAATAACACTTTGCCTTTCCTTCCTCATTGTATTTCATCTCCACTTTCTTCATCTTCCATTTATTGCTGAATACTTTCGCATCTTTTCTTACATCATTGCTCTTTCTCTCTTATCTACATTATCAGATTCCAAATCAAATTCTTGATGACCAAATTATTTCCACTAGATGGTAGAATTCAACGCTGCCTAGATCGATGGAAAAGTCTCTTGCCTCTTAAGACTCTGTTGGCAACATGGTTTTAAAAAATGGTATGGACCGACCTATTCAACGAGTTCGATTGGGTTGCCCTAAGGACTATTTTTGTAAAGAACTGATGAAAACGATGAATTGGTTTTGGGTATACAAAGTCAACTAGTCCAAATTACCTATTTAATTACTTTTAATTCTTAGTTAAATGGTTAGAAGTTTTCATATAAGACTTAATTCTATAAATTGTATTAAGTCAAACATATAATAACGAATTTCAAAATCTCAAACCTAATAATTAATATGAGTTTAATCAAATTAGTTTATTATATTCCTGACACCTAGGTTAAGTGTTGTCGAGATGAAAATGATTAGGTGGATGAGTGTCTTTACACTTAGAGACAAAATACAAAATGAATATCTTCGTGATAGGATTGGTGTAGCTTCAGTGACGGACAAAATTAGGGAGATTCGTCTTTAGATGATTTGGTCACATTAAACTTCGATCATCTAATGATCCAATTTGAAGAGTAGATGCTTTAGATTCGACTCATGTTAAGAA